ACTCCTCTATATAAACTCCTCTATATAAACTATATAAACTCCTCTATATAAACTCCTCTATATTAACTCCTCTATATAAACTCCTCTATATAAACTCCTCTATATTAACTCCTCTATATAAACTATATAAACTCCTCTATATAAACTCCTCTATATTAACTCCTCTATATAAACTCCTCTATATAAACTCCTGTATATTAACTCCTCTATATAAACTATATAAACTCCTCTATATAAACTCCTCTATATAAACTCCTCTATATTAACTCCTCTATATAAACTCCTCTATATAAACTCCTCTATATTAACTCCTCTATATAAACTATATAAACTCCTCTATATAAACTCCTCTATATAAACTCCTCAATATTAACTCCTCTATATAAACTATATAAACTCCTCTATATAAACTCCTCTATATTAACTCCTCTATATAAACTATATAAACTCCTCTATATAAACTCCTCTATATAAACTCCTCTATATAAACTATATAAACTCCTCTATATAAACTATATAAACTCCTCTATATTAACTCCTCTATATAAACTCCTCTATATAAACTCCTCTATATTAACTCCTCTATATAAACTCCTCTATATAAACTCCTCTATATTAACTCCTCTATATAAACTATATAAACTCCTCTATATAAACTATATAAACTCCTCTATATAAACTCCTCTATATTAACTCCTCTATATAAACTCCTCTATATAAACTCCTCTATATTAACTCCTCTATATAAACTCCTCTATATAAACTCCTCTATATAAACTCCTCTATATTAACTCCTCTATATAAACTATATAAACTCCTCTATATAAACTCCTCTATATTAACTCCTCTATATAAACTATATAAACTCCTCTATATAAACTCCTCTATATAAACTCCTCTATATAAACTCCTCTATATTAACTCCTCTATATAAACTCCTCTATATAAACTCCTCTATATTAACTCCTCTATATAAACTATATAAACTCCTCTATATAAACTCCTCTATATTAACTCCTCTATATAAACTCCTCTATATAAACTCCTCTATATTAACTCCTCTATATAAACTATATAAACTCCTCTATATAAACTCCTCTATATTAACTCCTCTATATAACTATATAAACTCCTCTATATAAACTCCTCTATATAAACTCCTCTATATAAACTATATAAACTCCTCTATATAAACTCCTCTATATAAACTATATAAACTCCTCTATATAAACTCCTCTATATTAACTCCTCTATATAAACTATATTAACTCCTCTATATAAACTCCTCTATATTAACTCCTCTATATAAACTCCTCTATATAAACTCTTCTATATAAACTCCTCTATATAAACTCCTCTATATAAACTCTTCTATATAAACTATATAAACTCCTCTATATAAACTATATTAACTCCTCTATATAAACTCCTCTATATTAACTCCTCTATATAAACTCCTCTATATAAACTCTTCTATATAAACTCCTCTATATAAACTCCTCTATATTAACTCCTCTATATAAACTCCTCTATATAAACTCCTCTATATTAACTCCTCTATATAAACTATATAAACTTCTCTATATTAACTCCTCTATATAAACTATATAAACTCCTCTATATAAACTCCTCTATATAAACTCCTCTATATAAACTCCTCTATATTAACTCCTCTATATAAACTATATTAACTCCTCTATATAAACTCCTCTATATTAACTCCTCTATATAAACTCCTCTATATAAACTCTTCTATATAACTCCTCTATATAAACTCCTCTATATAAACTCTTCTATATAAACTATATAAACTCCTCTATATTAACTCCTCTATATAAACTATATTAACTCCTCTATATAAACTCCTCTATATTAACTCCTCTATATAAACTCCTCTATATAAACTCTTCTATATAAACTCCTCTATATAAACTCCTCTATATAAACTCCTCTATATAAACTCCTCTATATAAACTCTTCTATATAAACTATATAAACTCCACTATATAAACTCTTCTATATAAACTATATAAACTCCTCTATATAAACTCCTCTATATAAACTCTTCTATATAAACTATATAAACTCCTCTATATAAACTCTTCTATATAAACTATATAAACTCCTCTATATAAACTATATTAACTCCTCTATATAAACTCCTCTATATTAACTCCTCTATATAAACTCCTCTATATAAACTCTTCTATATAAACTCCTCTATATAAACTCCTCTATATTAACTCCTCTATATTAACTCCTCTATATAAACTCCTCTATATAAACTCCTCTATATAAACTCTTCTATATAAACTATATAAACTCCTCTATATTAACTCCTCTATATAAACTCCTCTATATAAACTATATAAACTCCTCTATATAAACTCCTCTATATAAACTCTTCTATATAAACTCCTCTATATTAACTCCTCTATATAAACTCTTCTATATAAACTCCTCTATATAAACTCTTCTATATAAACTATATAAACTCCTCTATATAAACTCTTCTATATAAACTATATAAACTCCTCTATATAAACTCTTCTATATAAACTCCTCTATATAAACTCTTCTATATAAACTCCTCTATATAAACTCTTCTATATAAACTATATTAACTCCTCTATATAAACTCCCCTATATTAACTCCTCTATATAAACTATATAAACTCTTCTATATAAACTATATAAACTCCTCTTCTTTCTCTTTTACGTCATATATTAATTTATTTTGTTGATTGTATTTGTCTTCTTTCTTTATCACGTGACAGATTCGCTATCTTACGGGCCGGGGATCGCTATCTTACGGCCCGGGGATCGATCCACAGCCATGGCGGAAACAAATGGGCAGAGTTTGTTTCAACCTAATGCTCCTGTTCACCTAGCAGTAAATAGGTACCTGGGAGTTAGACAGCTGCTTCTGGCTGCTTCCTGTGTGTGTGTGTGTATGTGTGTGTGTGTGTGTGTGTGTGTGTGTGTGTGTGTGTGTGTGTGTGTGTGTGTGTGTGTGTGTGTGTGTGTGTGTGTACTCACCTAGTTGTACTCACCTAGTTGTGCTTGCGGGGGTTGAGCTCTGGCTCTTTGGTCCCGCCTCTCAACTGTCAGAGAGTGTATGTGTGTGTGTGTGTGTGTGTGTGTGTGTGTGTGTGTGTGTGTGTGTGTGTGTGTGTGTGTGTGTGTGTGTGTGTTATAAATATATGTAGTAGACATTATAGAGGAAAATACGTTGGTTAAAAAGGCGGGGTCCAAGAGCTAATAGCTCGATTTTGCAGGCACAAATAACAAATACAAATAGTAAATACACACGTTACTGGAAATGCACCTCACGACACTGGAAGACAGAAGAGTAAGGGGAGACATGATCACTACCTATAAAATCCTCAGGGGGAATTGGCAGAGAAGACAAGGATAAACTATTTAACACTAGTGGGACACGAACAAGGGGGCACAGGTGGAAACTGAGTACCCACATGAGCCACAGAGACGTTAGAAAGAACTTTAACAGTGTCAGAGTAGTTAACAAATGGAATGCATTAGGCAGTGATGTGGTGGAGGCTGACTCCATACACAGTTTCAAGTGTAGATATGATAGAGCCCAATAGGCTCAGGAACCTGTACACCTCTTGATTGACAGTTGAGAGGCGGGACCAAAGAGCCAGAGCTCAACCCCCGCAAGCACAACTAGGTGAGTACACACACATTATTCCAGAACCATCTTGAAGTTCTATTTTGACTTCAGATTGACACAAATACTTTTCCAAGGACAACCTTACCTTTGATATGGGCTTTCCTTGAGAAAATATATCCACTTATGTTATCATTCGCAAACATTCAATATGTTCATCATTAGCAGCAGAGGGCATGGAGTAAGGAGACATATTATATATATATATATATATATATATATATATATATATATATATATATATATATATATATATATATATATATATATATATATATATATGTGTGTGTTCTCTGTAAACTGTAGCATTTGAATGAAATAAAATAAAATTAATACAAAAAATAATAGGGGTGGTAGGAGAGGAAAAGATTAAAAGTGTTCAGTGAGAATCCACAAAGTCATCTTTGAATACTTTATATTTTCTTCTTCGAGGCTATGGGTCCTTACAATTGCACCAGAGGTGGTACCCTATATATATATATATATATATATATATATATATATATATATATATGTCGTACCTAGTAGCCAGAACGCACTTCTCGGCCTACAATGCAAGACCCGATTTGCCTAATAAGCCAAGTTTTCATGAATTAATATATTTTCTCTAATTTTTTTCTTATGAAATGATAAGTTACCCATTTCATTATGTATGAGGTCAATTTTTTTTATTGGAGTTAAAATTAACGTAGATATGTGACCGAACCTAACCAACCCTACCTAACCTAACCTAACCTATCTTTATAGGTTAGGTTAGGTTAGGTAGCCGAAAAAGTTAGGTTAGGTTAGGTTAGTAGGTTAGGTAGTCGAAAAAACAATTAATTCATGAAAACTTGGCTTATTAGGCAAATCGGGCCTTGCATTGTAGGTTGAGAAGTGCGTTCTGGCTAGTAGGTTCGACATATATATATATATATATATATATATATATATATATATATATATATATATATATATATATATATATATATATATATATATATATATATATATATATATATATATAAAGATAACTGGAGAAAGAGGGAGAGAGAGAGAGAGAGAGAGAGGAGAGAGAGAGAGAGAGGAGAGACAGAGAGAGAGAGAGAGAGAGAGGAGAGAGAGAGAGAGAGAGAGAGAGAGGAGAGAGAGAGAGAGAGGAGAGAGAGAGAGAGAGAGAGAGAGAGAGAGAGAGAGTGACGTCATCACAACACCTTTTACAAGCTAAAT